ATCGACTCTTTAATAAAAGCATTTATAAGGACATACCGGACGACAAAATTCAAAAATCTGATGCGAACCTATAATTTTGCACACTACTGTATAATAATGTTTTTCTCAGTATTTTATCTAGATTTCCTCTTCTGGATGAACGATTTAAAATTCTACTAGGACAAACGAACGTAATGCTCTTCGTCGAAAACAAGATTGTCGAAAACTCACATCGCCGACTCGACGTGGAAATTTATGGTGAATTTCCACGTCGAGTCGGCGATGTGAGTTTTCGACGATCTTGTTTTCAGCGAAGAGCATACTTACCGGACAAACACCTATTTTTGGAAGCACAGATACATAGTACATAATAAAATAACCACAAATTCCAGAAAGGCTAACTCAATTTTCGGAAAGTCCCCACATCCACGTTGGATAAGACAACAGTTTTTCTTTTTAAATTAAATAGTAATATAATCTTACTCCTCTTTTTACGTATACGCAATTGTTGAGAAGCAATTTGTTCTTGTCTTTTTTTACGTTGATCTGCTAAACATGTAAGTCTTTCTTCACGTTGACGATTTGCTTCTTCAATAGCTTGATCATTTTTATTGATTTGTCGACTCATAGCAAGTTTACTTTCACGTTCTCGAATCATTGATTTATCATTTCTTCTTTTCCAATTAAATTGTATTATCGTTCGACGACTTTGCTTTTGATTAAAAATCACAGAAAAACTTTCAGCTGTTTGTCCAAATGCATCTTGAATATCAAGTCGAGCACCATGATGCAATAGCAATTCCATTACTCGTAATGAACCACGAGCAGTTGCTACCATTAATGGTGTACGTCCTGCTGCTGTCTGATAGTTGATGCCAATATCTATCAGAGTAAAATTAAGTATTATCATTTTCATTTTCATAAGTAGTAATCTTATATCAATTAACCTTTAGTGATGTTTTACTTACTGCGTTCACATAAATGCCGTACAATATTAAGTCTTTCACGATGTGCAGCTGTAAACATAGCAACACTACCTCGTTCTAGTATATATGCTTGTTTATCTGATGGAGATAGACGATCGGCAATGGCTGATGAAAATGGTACGTCAGGCAGAACACCAAGTTCAAATAACTATAATATATTAAAGAATATAATAGAATTATTAAAATTGACAATTACAAAGGAACAACTCTAGTTGTTAAAAAATCTTTTTACACTATGTTCAAAAAAGGATTGCTTTAGTTTGTATAAATTCAAATATTTTTCTTTTTCGCTAACATTCTATTCTCTTGAAATTTATATATAACTATTGGACACAATTATCATAAACGAATGATGACTATATTATTTCTTGTAGAATATCTAGACGAAAGTAGGTGACGAATAGAGCCGTGTTTCATAGACTCCATACGAGAGTGGAAATCATTTGAGTATGAAGTAAAATAAAACAAGACTTTGAGTACGGATTATATGAAAGAAAAAATAACAAAAAGTTTAATTTAAATAATGAACAATTTACTCCTTGTATATCTTTATAACTAATTTATCGACTATGAATTTATCGAGTTCTGAATTTGAATGACAACCAAATAGAACAGATTTGAACCTTGAAATTATTTTATCCCACCACCTTCCCCTCAAGAAAAATCAATTTTTGTGAAAAGCATGAAAATTTAGATAAATGCATGGGAAGACAGTCTGAGATCTTATCTTTTATAAATGTCATGATTTTTTTTCTCACTTCGATTTTTTTTCACAAATTAGTCGTCATTTTCTGCTTGAAAAATACTTTTTTTTTCAGATGAAGTCAACAATCTTTTTTGCTTTACCTCTATTGATGTTTTTTTTCGATCGTGCATCCTAGAATTCTTCAAGGAACTTCATTGTAGTCAATGACTGTGTTTTTTGTTTGAATGATCG